TTCGTAGATCAATCGTCAAAATAAAAAAAGCTAAAGTATAATCTTCATTGGGGTTAAATATTAGTACAACATGAATGCTATCGACTTTGAAAGATTTCTTAAATTCGGGCTTTAGTTACTATTGTTAAAAAAAAAAAAAAAAACAAATAATTATTATAAGATTTTAGCTTAGTTTAGTCTTTATCAACTTTATAAGAGAGGCTGCGATTGTATTTATTTATAGACAACAACAAAAAAAAAAATTAATAAAAATTTTACATAAAAAACATGTCCATAGAAAGTCAGAATTTATTTATATGTAGTTATTTTTGTACATCAAAAATAATTTTCTAAATTATTTTAATGACATCTGGCGTGCGTTCTACTTTGATTAAGATTCACTTGCATTCTTATTATCACTATTATTACTTATGTATTATGTATCAATTTTTTTATTTTTTTAAATCAATTAAAATTTTTTTTTTTTTTTTCTATATTTAAACAAGTTATTGCGTACTTTTCTATGAATGCAAGTTTTAGCAATTAATGGAAGAACAAGAGGAAAAGAAATCTTTATTTACTGATAAACGTTTCAATATGTGTTCGACAAATTGTTGTTAGATTTGAATTCGTATGTGTGTGCGTGCGTTAAGTATTTGCGCTTTCCGATGTATAGGCTTTGAAGTGAAGCGGCAGGCATTTTATTGAAATACTATTGTTAATCTTAATGTTTGTATTAGAGATGTTAGTCAGTCTTGTTGTCCTCTTCTCTGATCATAGAGGACTTAATAAAAAAACAAAAAAAATTCGATTTTTTTAAGTAACTATTTTGCAATATTCCGCATCTAATATGCCATTTTTACACCCTAGATCAGTTATAGGCTACATCACAAATGTGCGGACGTGTGCAACTCTAAAAAGCACTTGAGACAGAGTCGCTCCTTAGTATACTAACCAATTAAAAATCATTTCCTGAAATGACTTAAGTTTATTTGTCCCTCAGAGTACGGTTGTATTCTATCCATATATCCTTTGTGTTCAATCTACAACTAACCACTTTTGCGAAGCCTGGTGCACTGAATGTTTCGCTTCTGTGAAAACAGTTTGGAATCGTATCCCTTTTACAGCTACTTCGCATATAAGATCTTAATGGAAAGAAGGCGTTAAATGAAAAAATTTTCAGTTTAAAGCTTCTTTGGCATATTTAAAGAATGTGGAAAATTTGAATAATATAGCATCACTTATCGAATTCTCATGATCATGCTCGCCTGGTACTCGGAGGCATCCCGTTAAGATTTCACGATATGAGATTTCTTAAAGAAAGGAAGCAAGGATGGAGCTCTGTGCCTGACCCTTGCAGTAGTTATATGCATATATACATAAATACAAATATGCAAATGTTTACAAAAACAAACGCACACATGTATGCATATAGTGGAGAGTCGATTAAATGGTTTCATTTCTGGTAATAACTTTTTTAAAAATTAAAATTTTGGAAAATTTATACTTTTCAAATGCTTTACAAGTCTTATCTATCTGTTTGTAGACACACTTTTAAAATTCAAGGCCTTTTGGGAGGATCAATATATGTCTGAAATATGTAATATAAAGCGATGAGTTTGTCGATCTCGCTAAAGAGCACTGTACACTCTAAGGGGTGATGTTAGGTTTGACTTTTTATACTAAATGTTTGTAATTTCTACTGAATAAGTCAGCGCCCACAGTCTACAAACGTCTGATATTACAAAATAAAAAAAAAAAAAAAGAGTATATTTATATGTATATATATTTATATATATACATATATTTATACATATATATTTATATTTTATATGTATATATATTTATATATAAATATGTATATATATTTATATAAGCCATTTAAACCTTTATGAAGAGCTTCTGTGTTAGGAAACGTGTACATTTGTACGAATGATGATACTTCCATAGCGTCGGGCAAGTTACATGCAGTGGCATTAAAATTCATATCGGATTTAATTTCAAACATTTTTCCATTTATTAGTATTCGTTATGAAATCTTTCCAATTTCTCAATATTTTTAATGTAAATCAAATATGTTTTATGTGCTGTGTACATAAAATTAAACAAAAAAAAAAAAAAAAAAAAAAAAAAAAAAAAAGCAAACATATATAAACACACACACACGCACACACACTTACGTATACACGATGTTCTTTCGTTCGTATTTTAAGCGACTGCAATTACTTTTACGTATTTTGTATTTGATTTGACAGAAAATATCACGAGTTTTATATGTAAATCTTTTTATATATAAATTATAAAACGGCAAAAAGACATAAAAATATAATTTTTAATGATGCGTTAAAGATCAAAGGTTTCCGATGTAGTAAAATGTAGAAATTTGTACCCATCGCAATGCAAACATATGTTAATAATAATTGTTATACGTAATTAACGATTTACTTCAAACATAAATAATAGCTTGTAAAGCACTATGCAACAATATTACATAAGTAATTTTACATTATTTAAAATTTCTTCGAATTGAAATTATTTGTGAAACAAGATATGCTTCGAGAGTGTTTGGTCAATTGAAGGTATAATTAGTAATATGCGCATCAAATTACTTTACAATAACTGAGTAAAAATTTTCACTTTCTCCTATGAAATGCGGATTTTTTTTTTTTTTTTTTCTTTCCTCCAAGATTCTGTTGAACGAGAATATTTTTTTAAAAGTTTTTTTTAACATAAATTTGAGCTAATCATGGACTTGAACTACAATCCAATGAAAGTTTGTAATAATATGTGTTTCGGAAAGAATAAACAATTTGAAAACTTACGCCAGTTCACAGTTCCCGATATCGAGTGTTTTGGTTCACAATCTTTCAATCGTTAGATTATATGCATATTCAAAATTTACTAATACTTTATCAAAACTGCTGGTCCGGCATGATTAGAAAGCGACAATGTCAATGACCTTTTATTAGAAGTTATTTTATCGATTGTGTAAATTTACAGAGAGCGATTTTGCAGACTGTACTTGGGGCTGTACTTGCAAGGAACTCAAGTTTTGCGATCCTGGTTAAAGAAAGACAAACACGACCAAAAGACTCACAGACTAACACTAGAAGATAGCTAAGAAAAGCTAAAGTGTTTAACTAACCTTTGTAGGGTGAAGCAACCACTTTTGCTGATACTGCGTTGGTAAGCTCTGGCAATTTCTTTCTAAAAACACAAAGTTTCAAAATTCTTTGTAAAATATAAGAAGCTTGCGCACATTTACTGGAATGGTCTGTTGTTTGTTATGAAAACGACTACACCGGTATGTCTTGCTAAACTACTGGTCTTGCCTCGTGTCGGTAGTTGCAGTCGCTACCTATAAATAGGTCTTAAGATAAGTGACTATAAAATCACACGGTTTAAACTCTATGGAATTTTAGATATCTTTTGTTCGGACTTTCAAACCTCTTTGTAGCAAGGGTAAGTTGTCAGTGTAGCAAAATTTGGTGAAAATATTTCACCTTTAGGTTAAATATAGAAATATAGTACATGAATAAGCTTCAGACGAATAGATAGGCGGACAGTCTGGGTTTCTGCATGTTTTGATGTTCGATTCACTAGCAATAGTAGTTGTCATGGAAGGTCGGTTGATCATATATTACGCTCTTCTAATGGGATCGTCCACGTTATCGGTTGGCTGGGTTTCATTTAGCATAGTATCTTGGTTTTGTTGCCATTCGAGAATTTTCAGGTGAGCTTTTCTTTGCATTCTTCCAGTGAATGGCGCACATATCTATTGTCACGTCAGACCCAAAGAGGGAGTAGACAAAATAACTCTTCGTACATTTGCTTTCAATTTCGGAAATTTAGTGCGCCCTCTCAGTACTTATCCCGTTTTTAGAAAATAAATAGTTACTAGTAATAGCTTGGAAGAATTGAGTATCAGGAAATCAACTGTATTTTCAAGACCGGAATCAGGGCAAGAAGGCAGTGAAGACTTTTTTGTATCGCCTTGCACTATTTCTTTTAATTAGTTATAGTTAGTGCTAAGTCTTAGATAGAATATAGCATAAGTTTATAACCACTATCTCGAAGACAAGAATTGATTCATTACACATACATAAGCAAGTGTTTAAAATTGTAAAATTTTTTTTTTGTTTTTTTGTGGACTCACTTAAAGAATACTACTGAACTTGTTCAGAAGTTTTTCAATTTTAATCTTCTCCTTTGCTGTTTGTTATAAGTAGAATCGAAAACTAATGTAAGGTGACAACAACAATTTGCTCTAAAGTTATTGCATAAAGTGCATAAAGTTTGAAATACATATATATTGAAAAGTCAACATGTGGTTGTAAAGTGATTTTAATTTCTCTTTAAATCAGAAATTCTCTAACAAATACAATCGCAAATTGCTATGCTCGCAAGTGTGTGCGTTGTCAATGTGTTTCTGTCGTATTAAACGTGCATGCATAAATGTGCATGTGCGTGCGCATGTGTGCATGTGTGTATGTGTGTATGTGTGTGTTTGTGAACCCTTTGAAAATATGATTCTCTTTTTATCTGCTATTGAGCCTGCTGCTGAAGTTAAAACGATATTTTCCCTAATCGTCGTCTACTACGGTTGATTGTATGCGTTTCTTATCATGAGCCTCATAGAATACTCGGCTTAAGTAAACTTTAAAATCTTAACATCGTTTTTATGTTCGTGTCATAGTATTTGAGTTTATCGGTTTGTTAAGTGAAGACAAAATTTTGATTTGCGGGATCGCTAAGAAAACAGTCTGCTTTAAGATTCTCGATCGTACGGTTTTTGAAATTCATTTTTTTTTTGAAGAGTTTAGTGTTTATTTATTCATTTATTCATTTCGGTTTTTTTTTTTTTAAATTAAAATTTTATAATAGAGAAATATTTAAAAGAAATTTTCCATTGCGAGAGATCACATTAGTGTGGCCACAGGAAAAGCAAAAAAAGAAAAAAAAAGAAAAAAAAAAAAAAAAGGAAAAAAAAAAATAGCTTTCAATGTCGGCAAACATAAACGTATCAGCAACCAAAACTGCAATGGCAGCAAAAAAATCAGACCGCATTAAACCGGTTGAAACACTGGTTTTGGCAAATATTGCATTTAAAGCGGAACAAAAACGTTTGAATGGTGACAACAGTGCCGGTCGCAAAGAAGATGAAAGGATTACGACTGCGGTTATGAAAGTTTTAGAAGGATATGACTGGAATTTAGTTCAGGCATCCGCCAAGTAAGTGCAAAACATGACATATCCTCCAACCTATTCACCATGCATACATATATCCTCAATTTATGTATGTATGTATGTATGTGTTGTATGTGTTGTATGTATGTATATATGTGTGCTTATGACTGATTGTATACCATTCAGCCATGAGGAGAGAATATTTGCTTGTTTTACACAGGATTAACGGATGCGGTTGTTTTGTACGATTTTGTTTATATTTTGGACAATTTTGTTTATATCGTAACGTATGTAAAATTTGCGATGTATTCTACTAATTTGATCGCTAGTGAAAAAAAGAAGGAATTTAACTTGTATAAAAATAATCCTTTAATATGAAAATTGTTTTGTTTTTGTGCTACTTTGGCTTATTGCGTTTACTAATAAACTACAAGAAATTGTAACATTGCAGTGGACAGGAGTTAATTAAAAATTATTTTGTTTTGTTTTCGTTTTCTTGTTTTTTTTTTTTTTTTTTTTTTTTTTTGGTGTGCTAATGACCGCTATTTATTGTATTAATTATTTTGTCAGAAAGTAATGCATTTGAGAATTTTTAAATACTAACAGTATTCCTCTCATGCATTGTATGCACAAAAAAGGTTTCTGCGACCTCGTAAGCCATGCGTTAATTAGATAAATAATTTATGTGAGTTCATTACAAAGCATTAATTAATGGTTTAGGCAGCTACAGTCTAGCATAAATAAAGTTATTTATCGTGAAAGTGACTCGCAATAAATTCATGCAATTTTTTAAGTTATTTTCTAAACATTAAATTGTAAAATTAATTAATTTCTTTGTAAAATTAGCTTAACGTAACTTTTCAGCGTAAATTTCAAGATAAACGTTTTTTTTTCAAAAACTCTTTCCATTTGCTTTTTTTTTGCCCTGCAGGCTAAATATGAAAAATAAAATTGTAATTTTAGCTAATTATTTCACTTCACATCACTTGTAGTACGAAGCATAGCGAGCGAGAGTGGATATGTGCAACACCCAACAGTGTTTGAGATGGATCAACTTACCAGCCGATACGGAACAATCTCCTGATGGGATTTACATTTGTTTATCTATCTCTCTATATGTCTGTCTGTCCGTTTGTCTTTCTGTCTCCTTGTCTTTCCGATTGCCTGCCCATCTCATGTCAGTTCCTGTGTTTTTTTTTTTATTTAATTTTTTATTATTTTATGATGACTTAATTTGAACAATGTCGATCTGCATAAGGATTCTTATGAGACGTAAGCTATTACATAATAAAAAGGTATAATTTTTTCATATATTATTATTAAAATCAGTGCAGTGTTTAATTTGGTAATGGCACTGTAGGGCATCCAATGACAGATGACACTATTGTTACCTGTTTTTCCTGTGCTAGATTTTATTTGTAAAGCAACGCCCTAAAGGCGATTTCAGTTTATTGTTATTGAAGAAAATTTTACTAATTCAAGAGTTTTGCAAACTTTTAATTAAAATGTAATCAGATGGTGCGAGTACGCAGTAGCAGAATGAGGTACGCAACATTATTAGTGCAAGTTCACAAAAGACCGGCACGCGTTCTGTTTTTTTTTGTTCTCTTATAAATCATCAGTGATTGAAAGCACGCACTTGAAATCAAAGTGTTTTGATTCCTAGAAAGCAAATCAATGCACACAAGTTAGCTTTACTCCGCAGCTAATGTAATGTGTGTAGTAATAATGTTATAGTTTGTTCACAAATTCTAATGCCTTTGAGATGCACATAATTTGAAAATTAAAAAATCAATATTCTTATCAAGTTCAAAATATTTCAAAGGATTTTTCCATTATTACGGCCATTGATCATTTTAAGGAATCTCTTCATTTGCTCTTGGACGAACTTTTTCAATTAAATGACTACGGACTGAACGCAAACGATATCCAGAAGGACTTGAGATAGATCCGCCTTTTTTATTAGCTAAGCTTATCTGTCCGTCCGTCTGTCTGTTATACTTTTGTTCAATCTACTGCCGCAATTTTAGAGATATTTTGATGAAATTTGATACATTGGCGGATTTTAACCCAAGAACGAATGACTATTGACAATAGTTAGAATCGGAACACTTTTTCGACAACTCCGCTTATGACGCCATATGTTGAAAAGTCGTTATGTGAATCACTGTTTAGAGTAAGTAACCGTGGGCTATGTACCAAGTCAGTCTTTTTACTTGTCTCCTCTTTTTCTTTTTTTTTTGGAAAATTGTTTTACACATTAAAGAACGATATCTAAAAGGATTTATAGCGAGTCGAATGTCTTATATGATTCAAAAAGTCTAATTTACATTTTTCGAGTGCTTTCAATTCTCAATAAAATGACTTCATCTTTTAGCTGCAATTTCGTTGTAACTGATTGATTGATTATTTTTAATTGATTTTTTTTTTTTTTTTTGAAAAAGTTAAGAAATAAGATCGACATCACTTTTCTTTACCTTTAGAATTTAAGAATTATTTGAATTTTCTTGTCTTAGAAAGAATTTTTACGATTTGTAAAAGTGTAGCCAAAATGTTGTTAAAGAATCTTTGTTGCACCAGCTATGTCGTTAGCTTAAATAACTGTTCAAAAATTGTGGAAAAAAAGTGGAAAACATCTGTAAAAGATTTATTTCAATGCATTGATTGATCTTTCGTAAATAAACTCGACGAAAATTATTCATAGAAGGCAGTGTTATTTCTTAAGGTGAAACTCTGGCACATTTACTAGTATCTTAATTAATTCCCAAAATCCCTTAATAGTTAGAAAATTGAAAAAAGATTTTGTTAAATCCAAAATTTTTTAAAACATTTTTCGATAATAATTAGTCAGTCATATTTGCTCGATATCGTTCAAGGCCATTTTACGAATTTTCACAAAAACTCTTGTTTAGCTTTCACTTTGAATGCAAAAAAAAAACAGCGAATTTCATAAATTCTGCTCTGTTGCATGAAAATGTATACTAAACCGTTATATAAATTTCGTGCTTATTTTACAGAATTTGTTTGTGATTAAGTACTTCATTGAATAAATTTACAAAGGCAATGAGATATGCTTAATGAATACACATACAGTTCAGAGTTGCGTTCTATTGATTTCTTTTAATGCAATAAACAAAAAAGGGCTAATCATAAGGTACATACACATGCACATAATACTACGTTAATTGGTATAGAGATTAAGAACATGATTTATGTTTGTGTGTAGTAGTCTAAAAATCGCTTGCATCTATTCATCGTTTAATAATAGATATTATTTAAAGGTTTTTTTTGTAAGCCGATCGATTGCCTTAAAAGAGACCTAAGTTTATTGTTTAAAAATGTTTTCGGCTTTGGCCCTTTTAAGGCATTTATTTCAAATGTTAGTAAAAACCACAGGATGTGTTTATCTAATTTTAGTGAAAAGGCAACAACACGAGGTGTGGTAAAAAAAAAAAAAGTGACTTTTCAAATTTCATGGACTATGGTGTTGGTGCGCACACCAATAATCCTGACATACCTTGACATTATCAACCATTTTTTATTTTTGTTGTTTGTTTTTGACAGATATAGAGGTTAAATGTGTTTTGGTTTGCGTGGCGCTCTTCTCCTATCGAAATAAATTGTTCAAAGAATTTGTATTAAATTTTGTGCGAAAAATACAATTCACTTAAAATGTTAACTGCGACATTTGGTGAGTTGACTTTGGGCAAAAAATATGGCTACAGGTACAAGTTCTTCACAAAAGTCGAGAAAATCTTAATGGCAAATTGTCTGCCTTGTACACCCCAACAAGTTAACAACCGATGAAAATGTTGAAACGGTGAAGAAAATTGTTGCGAAGACTTGTCGAATCACTATTAAAGAAGTTACTGAGGACGGCTCATGCCATGCAATTTCTTCTGACGTTTTGGGCATAAATCCTGTGGCAGCAAAGTTTGTTCTGAAATTGTCAAATTTTGATTAAAAAATCCGTCGCATGATCATGGGTGGGGAGATATTGAATGATGTCAATGACGATCCACATTTGCTCGAAAGAGAATGGTTATGACGTCGCTACGAACCACAATCATTCTAGCGGAAGTGACCAGAAGAGACAAAACCGAAAACCACACGACAAGTTCGATCAAATATAATTGTTTTGCTCAATGTTTTCTTCGAGTACAATGGAGTGGTGCATCGTGAATTTTTGACAGAAAGCCGCGCGGAACTCAAAAAGGTAGATTATCTTGAAATTGTGCACGGTTTGCGCGAAGCAAATTGAAAAAAATGCTTGGAATTGTAGAACAAATACAATAACGTAATCAAGGCCTCAGCCGCCGTATTTAACCAACTTGGTCTCCTGCGACTTTTTCCTTGTCTGGGAAGACCCGTGAAAGGACGAAGGTTTTCCACGATTAAGGAGATAAAGTGGTCACCGCGGGAAGAGCTTAAGGCCATACTAAGAAGCCCATATCAGAAGGGCTTCGCAGATTGAAACACGAGCTGGCGCAAGTGGGTTATGTCTAAGAGGGATTACTTTGAAGGGTACAAACTAGACATTGATAAATAAATAAATATTTTTTGAGAAAAATAAAAAGTCGCATTTTTTTTTTTGAACACGCCTCCATATATCGATAGTGCAGGAAATTTCGATATTAACTCTAATTTGCACGAAAAATTTGTTATGAAATTGTAGTGTTTTCTACAAGCACTTGAGTACGTTTTCGACGTGAGATCGCGATGGAATGTTCCAAAGACGATCTGAAGCAATACGTTAAAGGTGCTGAAATCTTTTGGTCTATTGATCTAGGCTTAGGTATTTCTCTTCAATTTCTTCGTCAAACGTCATAGGTTGAAATGATCAGTTATTTCTCTTGGACAACGTGGATAAGGATTGATTTTAATTAAAAATTATCTTTCGATAATATTTAATAACTAATGGCGTATATTTTTCATGTAACACCTAAAGGCTTAACCTTTGAAATATTGATTCAAATATGTAGACTTAATCCATTTTAAAATAAATAGTTCACGTAAGTAATTGTTATTTAAAGCGCATCTAAATG